TACCGAACAGGCAAGGTGTGACAGGTAATGGCGGCATGGTAGGCCTGTCTGCGGGGGGTCCTTTGGCATGATAAGCAGTTGCGGGGTGCGTGGGGCAGCTCCCCCCCACCTGCCTCACCTTATGGCAGCAGCACTGGCATGATGCAGAAGAAGTGGGGCAGCAGCCAAGCAGCTCCTGGACAGGGGTGTTAGTACTGCTGCCACGAGGTGAGATAGGTGTCAGGAAAAAAATAAGACATCCCTCCAAAACAAGGCCTAATGCCTCTTTTGGAGGCAAAAAAATTATAAGACCAGGTCTTATTTTCGGGAAAACATGATAGATATGTTCGCTGCCTATAATGACAATAAAGGCACAATAAAAAATCTTCTAAAAAATTGCTTGATCTTTGGTTTCTATAGTTCAGTATAATTCTATTGATGTTTTTTTCAGCTAATTAAAGGGTGCTGTTATATCCTCGCAGTCTTCTCATTCCCAGACCCCTGAAATTATTTTCAGTTTCTAATTCCTTAGACACCCTTATTGCCCTGCTCTGAACATATTTCAATTTATCTGAATCCTGAAAAAAGTGCCCAGAACTGCACTTAAACTCAAGGTTGGTTCTGACCTATACAAAGTTGGATAGAATTATTACTTCCTCTGATTTTGCAATTATATGTTTAGTGTAGCAGCCTCTGCTGGCATTTGTACTTTTAGCTGTCATATCAACATTGACACATAATAAGTTTATGATAAATAATAATGCAAAAAGGCACAGTTGCTTTAAATAGTTGCAATTAGGTGTTCTATTCACCTCACATACATTTTTATCTTAAATATGAAGTACCAGCCTAATCCTATTAGCTGTCCCACTCAATTTTGCTTCATCAGCAAATTTGATTGGCATTTCCTCCTCCTCATCCCAATCTGTAGTAAAACTGTTGAAGAATACACTGCTAGAACTAAGGTTTGTAGCATGTTTTTAAAATCTACAATTTTTCCTTATTAGCACATTTAAAATTACATTTTAATATGAATTGTTAAAAATCTCTGGGACTACATACAAGATTTTGGATTAGCATAAGCAGTTCTGGAACTTCAAATTATGCACCTCTCTTTCATACGTTTATCTTATAAAGGAAGTTTTGCATACTCACAGGCTGAAGTAATTCAGGACGGGTTGCGTCTGGTCTGATTTTCCCTTTAAGCACCATAGGATTGAATTCCACAATTTTAAACTTGATATCTTTCAGTTTGGAGTTTTCAATCCACTGCCTGAAATGCAGAACAAATAGAAGCATGTTAGATTTCTAAAGCAATAAATATAGTGTTATTATTCTTTCATTTCATAAACCTTGTAACTTTGTATTGTAACATTGTTATTATTATTAACACTATAAAATGACAGATTTTTCTGACTTTATATGACATTCGTGAATCATCTGAGGTTTCTTAACTTTTCAGTTTTCTAAGATAAACTTTCCATAAAATAAACTTTCCATATGCAATTTAAATTGATCATATAGTAACATCCTTTAGGTATTCTGCACTTGCTGTAATTGTTTATTTGTGCACTACGTTTTAGAAATCATTCTGAATTGTGTAATTATACACATTAGCATCTGAAATATGGTAATGACCCAACAACTTCATATTCTTTCAGCTAAAAAGAAGGCTTCCAGATGGATGAGGCCTTGAGCTAGGGATCAAATAACAGTGCAGCTGTTCAGTTTTCCCCTCCCAAACTGATGTTTACAGTACTGTAAAGAAAGACAAAAGACAGAAGTGGGATGGTTACAGAGAGGAACAGCTTTTTAGTGAGCTCTTAACTTTTAATTTAAGTTACTTTTATTTATAGTTTAAATTATTGTATTTAGTGGCCTTAATTGGTAATTTTAGTGTTTAGTATCAGTAATTCTAGTATTTAGGTTAACTAGTGTCTTAAAGCCCTAGAATCCAATAGTCTCAAACATTGATTCATGATACAAGGGAACTGTAGCTTCAAAGCTGTACCAAAAAACAAATTTGAAAAGAAAGAGCAAAGGGAAGAATAAGTCTGAGTTTTTGCCAGGCAAAAATTCCAATCATTCAGTACAAGGCTCTGGTGACTTCTAGACAGCTACCATTACAGGGATGGTTACAAATTAAAGTCACAATTGGTGAAAATTCTGTAAATATAAAATAATTACATAACAAAGCCTTACTAAAAGCACCCTTTGGATGTTTCCAAATAAGGCTTTATAGAATTTTACAAATGCTTTTTTTATAATGCCCATTTGTTCCCACCAGTTTTTGTTTGTAGAAAAATAATATATAAAGGAAAGACAGAACTGCATGCTGTAATACTGTATATTTGGGTGAACTACCCTAGGTATCTTGTCTGGAAACACTCTTAAAAGAGTCCTCCACTATCCTCTCCCACCTAATCAGTCCATGTCCTCCACTGGCCCACCTGTGCTAGACCTACACTTCTGCCCAAGTATAATTATTCTGACACTAGCTCATCACAGCAGATCAATTCCTGGCATTATTATACTCAATGAAGATTTTTATCTGAATAATTTTGTTGTTTGGTTTTATGTTGTCTTACTGGTATTATTTATCCATTACAGTGTTTCTCAACCATGGCAACTTTAAAATGTGTGGACGTCAACTCTCAGATGTTGGCTGGGGAACTTCTAGCTGGGGAATTCTGGGAGCTGAAGTCCGCACATCTTAAAGTAGCCAAGATTGAAAAATATTGTAATTTGTATTAATGGGCAGATAGATTGTCCAGTGCATTCTGTTTATTGCAAATAAATCAATCAATATGTGGCATTCATTCAGGGTCATGGACTTCCCTGAATAAAGGATTACACTGTCACTCACTTATATTACAGCACTGTGTGATTTCACCTGATATGTGGAATGCCGCTCTTTAGCCCAACTATGTAGAAGAAGACATTCGAATCCGTGTTGGTATAAATGCTGTTGATTGCAGCTATTGTTGCACCCATTCTGCCTGCAGCAGCACATAGCACGACTGGAATTTCTTCTTCCATCTCCTCCATGCTCTCCAAATCAACTAATAGTGGGAGTAAGTAATAGCAGTGAGAAGAAACATGAATTATCATATATATTGTGATTTATTTAGTTCTGCTGCATTAAGCAATAAGCATTTTACAAAAGCCTCTGAAAGAGATGAGAACTTGAAAGAGTAGGGTTGAAAGCTAATATACGTCAAAGCCTCTGTTAATTACATTAAATGGCCTTGTATTTCTTATGCAAGGTCACTTATCTGTTCCTAGTTCCATATTCCTTCTATTATGGCTACCCCACCTCACAGGTTTTTTTTTACATGCAGCATTTATGATACAAGCCTTTCTCAACCAGTTGTAGGCACTACATATGCCATAATTCTCAATCTGCAGAGTCAGTGGCCATCAAGATGTACAAAATGTTCAGAGGCATTACTAAAAGAAAGAAAGCTAAAGCAGTTCTAATTANAGTAGTCAGAAGAGCAGATAGAGCAGGGATATGATAGCATGTGGTTAATTATGCTTGCACTCAACCTGTCTCCCAGAATTTCTCTCAGAGAAATAGAGGCCACATCCATGGAGACAGTTATTGATCATCCACAGGAAAGAGATTTGTATATTTAATACCTTTAATAGTACATAGGATATGCTGCCTGACTGAAATGATCCTATTGAATGTGATGGTTTGAAAAATCTGATTTATTTATGATGTGTTATCAAGTCTGTGTCAGCTCTTAATGATCACATATCGGTAGATAGATATTCTCCATGATGATTTGTCCCTAATGCCCTTCAGTTCTTTCAGTTGTAATGAAGACCCTAGTCTGTTTTAAATTGAGGGGAGATGTTACATTTATAAACCTTTAAAGGCAAGCAGCATTCATCAAAATTTTAAGCCCGTTTATACAGGTCTTTTCTGCCACAACTTCCTTTCCTTATTATAGTATTAGTGAAGCACAAAACAAAACAGTTACACTGCTGCACATTCCTGCACTAAAAATACATTCATGTTTGACTCTTGAACAATCTATGTAGATTTCTGAGCATCCCTACAGAAGTTCTTCCAAGATTGTTTTTATTATTTTTTCAGTATCTCAATATAACCTACAGCCTTGTATTCCTGGAAGTCTCTCATACAAATATAAGCCAGTTCTACTAAACCTCTAAGATTAACCTAGGGCTAAGCTTTTTTTTTTAATATAACCTTCCCCTTACTACCATCACCAATTAATATATTTTAGAAATGTTTTTTTTACCTGCATTCCTACACTTCTAACCATTTCATGAGTTGAAGGTAGATCACAGTCATCTGAAAAAGCTGCAGCATGTCCTCGAATTAACTTTGTATCAAATAGATCTTGGATGTCTCCTAAGAAAAAACAAGGTTATTTCCTCTCTCAAGAAATATTATCAATTGCCTTTACATATTCTGATATAAAACTTAAAAAGTCTCTAACAATTTCATTATAAGACCCTTGCCACTACTTTCAAACATTCAGATGTATAAGACAGAGCAAAGTTGTAACAATGACATAAATATTTTGGAAATGATGTATTAGGAAAAAAGCAGGATTTTTTTTTCATAGCTCACCTTGTACAATCACGTCGTCATCAAAATAAATCACTTTTTCATGTTCATGGATAAGTAGAGGGAGGTAAAATCGAACAAAGTTTAGCTGTTGAATGTTTTAAAAAAATATTAACAAAGTAGATAGTACAAATTCTTTGTATCTAGTTTACTAGATAGTATTATTTAATGTAAATATCTGTCCTTTATTGTTAACATGTCTAACCTCACCAAAAACAAGCAAACACCCATGTAATATACTCCAGTGGAATTTTGATTTGCGTGCACATTTGCATATTGTCAATATTATTTACAAAAAGAAAACACTGTTGCTAGTCTTGTTTTTCTTTTTCTATTGTTTGGGCTACGAAAACTACTATCTCTAGTGTTTGGAAGATATCTGAACATATCCCTATTGACTGCAGTTTTGCCAAGAAAAATAAAAAGAATTTCAAATGCATTCAACTTTTGTAACCCCTAAACAATTTTTCTAGCATCCAAGTGGAACTTGTTTTTCTCTAACATAAATCCATTATTTCATATCCTGCATTTTGAGAAGATGAGAGGTGAGAACTGAGGCTAGTTTGGCTCTATGCTTAAGGCACCAGGCTAGAAACCAAGAGTCTGTGATTTCTAGTCTATATCTTAGGCATGAAAACCAGCTGGGTGACTTTGGGCTGGTCACTCTCTTAGCTAGCCCAACACACCTCGTAATGTTGTTGTGGGGACAATTGGAGGAGAAAGGATATTACTGTGTTTCTCCGAAAATAAAACCTACCCTGAAAATAAGATCTAGCTTGATTTTGGGGGTTGGGCCTAATATAAGTGCTACCCCAAAAATAAGCCCTACTTAAGAGCCTGTGCAGACGGCTGGCCACCTATTCCATCACACCATCTGGTTGCTAGACACAGGGAGGGGGGAGCTGCCCTACGTACTACGCAACCGCTTACCATGCCGAAGTGCCCCCGCAGCCAGGCCTACCATGCCCCGACACCTGTCAAGCCTCATCTGTTCGGTAGTGGCTTCTCCCACTTTTTTTATTTTATTTTATTTTATTTTATTTTTAAGACTTATATGCCGCCCTTCTCCCCACGGGACTCAGGGCGGCTCACAGCATATTAAAACAACATAATACATTTCCCCAATAAAAGCCAATTAAAAACCAAATATTTGTAGCTGTGTCTCTTATTAAAATCATTAAAAATTATCCCTATTTAAAATTCACCCTAGGTCAGTCCCGCTTGCTGAAA